CCCCCCCCCCCCCCCCCGTGGAGAACTCAAGGCTTGGAGGCTGTGCTGGGCGGGCGTGAGTGGCTCTTTGGCCGTTGGCTGCCTTGCCACCTCTCGGGGGCTTTTATGAAGCCACGGCTCCGTGTCGTGGAGCAGAGCGGATCACAGCCTGGGACAGAACAGTCCTCATTGGGTTTTTCTGCCAACAGGACCCAGGACGGCGCTGGCAGCGGAATGGGGATCTGGGCCTCTGTCAGCTCTCCCAGCTCATTAGGGGAGAATGGGGAGCGGAGAAGGGCCGGGAAGGGCCTGATTCCTCACCTTCACCAGCGAGAGAAGATGCCCGTGACACAGCGAGCGCCTGTGTGGCCAGCGTGTGCGTGGTGGGCCGATGTCGGAGCCCTGTCCTCCTAGCCTGGACAGCTGGGTGCGCCCAGGGTGGGCAGACACCAGAGAAGGGAACACGTAAGTACTGTGTCTCAGCAGTCACGGAAGAGCAGGTGCTGCCATGAGGATGAGGCAGAGGGTCAGGGCCGTTGAGAGCTGAGAAGGGAAGGTCCCATTCTCCCTTCAGGTCGGTGGGGAGTCCCAAGCCGCACGCCCCAAGGCTGCTGGCTCCTGCCAGTGCTAGCAATGATGGGAAACTCCGGGGAGCCGAGAGGTACGAAGTCTTTCCACAAAGAGCCAAAGGTTGGACTATCCCGGGAGGAGGTGAGGATCTTAGAAAGCCGAGCTAGGCATGTGCTGATTGGTAGTTATCAAAGATACTGAGAAATTCCAGCAAAACACAGAGTTTTGGAAGGAAACCCTCCTCGGGCCTTCGTGTTGGTGACATCATCAGGAGGCGAACCAGAGAAGGTATGAAAAATGTAAAGAACGTCCCAGCTTTTTTTTTAATCCTCACTCCAGGATATGTTTCCATTGACGAGAGAGAGAGAGAGAGAGAGAGAGAGAGAGAGAAGGAGAAACATCAACTGGTTGCTTCCCACATGTGCCCTGACCGGGGATTGAACCCACAACCAGGTAAGTGCCCAGAGGGGAACTGAACCCACATCCTTTGGGTGCACAGGATGACCCTCTAACTACCGGGCCAGGGCACTAACTTTTAAGTTAGACCCAGACGCAATGACCTCGTTTAAATAAACACCTGAGCCTGGCCGGCGTGGCTCAATGGTTGAGCATCGACCTGTGGACCAGGAGGTCACGGTTCAGTTCCTGGTCAGGGCACATGCCCAAGTTGCAGGCTCTATCCCCAGTGTGGGGCATGCAGGAGGCAGCAGATCAGTGATTCTCATCATTGATGTTTCTATCTTTCTCTCCCTCTCCCTCCTCTCTCTCTGAAATCAGTAAAAACATATTTAAACAAACAAACACCCGACCTTACCAAATTCTGACACACACACCCGGCCCTGCCTCAGT